CATGGCTCTTTACTTCCCCCTATCCCTTGTAGCTCTCAATAAGTTTCATTCTTCTGCCACCTCCCCCAGACCACATTCTGTCATCCACTCACTTAAGCCCACCAGGTATGTCATGCATTGCTTTCCCTTGCCTCTCTTTCCCACTATTCGACCTGTGAGTATCAGATTCTTCAAGCCTTTCCTTCTCATTATGTGTCCCAGAAACTTCAGTTGCCTCTTCCTGATGTTAAGTATAAGCCTCTCCCTTGTTTGCATCCTCTCCAAGACATCATCATTGCTCACACACTTGGTCCATGATATCCTCAGTATCCTTCTGTAGAACCACATCTCTGTCACCTCGAATCTCTTCTTCAAACTTTGAGGAGACCATCCAACATTTGCTGCCATAAAGAAGGACAGATGTCATGTAACAGTTTGGTACTCTTTTGTTTGATACCAAAGAGATCCTCCTGTCTCGCAATACTCAGCTTTTGGAATGCTTCCTTGGCCATTCCAATATGTCTACGGGTCTCAGTGTCACACTTGTCTGTCAAAACACTTCCCAAATATTTAAACTTCCGACCTTCAAACTATGCATTCTGTCTTCTTATAGTTTGTGCTTAGTCCCTTTTTCTCCCTCTCCTTCACTACTTTCTGTAGGAGGTTTTGTAATTTCTTTTCCATGTCTGCTATCAGTACTGTGTCATCTGCATATCTTATGTTGTTACGATTGTGGCTGCCAATGATGAATCCTGGTAGGATTTTCAATTCTCTCACATCACTGAATACATTCCCTATGATTATTATAATTTTAAATAATATAAAATCTTGAAGCCTTTATTATAACCAAGGATTTTCCAACAATATGGCATATGTGTATAGCAAAATTACAAATATAAAATTAAACAAAAATTACTCAGAAATGCATTAGCCTATTTATCACCCGTTTCTTATGGAACCCCTAGTGACCTCTCACATGATCTTAGGGTTCTGGGGAACACTAGTTGAGAAACACTGCTCTAGATCCTTGTATTAGATTAATTTTGGTATAAAAAATGTTAAGCATATAAATTTAATAATTGCAATTCATAAAAATATATATTACTTTTTAAATATTCCAAAAAATATTTCTGCTTGCTTGTTAAATAAGAAAATGATTGCATGGTTAACATTAGTAAAATGACAAACTTTGATATCCCTACCCACATAAAAATGGTGTGTCAAAAGGATTTTTCCTTCACTCCCTCAGCAATGTTTGTTTTAAAAAGCGATGATTAGAACTTTAATAAAACCTAAACAAAAGAAAGTGAATTTTCTTTTTTCTTGACAAGTGACAACAAAAATAATAAACACTATTTATTTACTGTAATATTTGACAAAACATTGGCTAATTGCCAATTGATTCAAATCTTATAAAATAGTAAATAAGGATTTCTATAGTTTGTTCACATATTTTAATAATTTAATAATTGTTTATAATTTTATAAATAAAAAATTGTTTTCACATTTATCTGTTTATAAATTGATAAATGATAAGTATTATATTGCATTAGTTTTGATTGTATTATTTTTTAGAATTTTTAAATATAAAATCTTTCTTGTAAATAAAAAATTTAATAAATAGTGTTTAATATTTATGTTGTAAATACTCAATATTCATTTTCATCATATGTTTAGGCTTTATTACAATTCTAATCATCACTTTTTAAAACAAGAAACATTGCCAAAGAGTGAAAGTATTTAAAATAATAGAGGTGTCAAGGGAAAAAAATCGTCCTTGTGAAATTCCAGTTTTTTATGAGCTCAAAATTCCAATTTTGCCGGTAAAACATTTCAATACATGAATTAAAAATAAATTAGAGATAATTAATATTATTAATTATTTTTCCATGATTCAATACTTTATTATAATGATAATAGTAATGGTGAGATTAGCTGTTTCCTTATAAAGAAGCATTCAACATTCTTTGATGGAACATTTAGTTGAAATTTTGAAAGTCCTTCTCTTAAAACAGTTTTTCATGGAAAATTTTTCTCAGGTTCATTCTTCATAGAATTGATGGGCTTGCCTTCCTAACCTTTTGCTAAAGGAGTGTGGAAAGTTAACACACTGATTATATCATTACTTTTCTTTCTAGTTATATGGGCTATCCATTTTATTTGTTGCCACTGTTGGAAGTCTTCAGTAAGTATTTAGTTTTTGTTATTTGGTAAAGTTCCTTGTCTGTGACTTTTGTATATGTATACAACACTCTCAAATAATCATTTGTTTAGGCTCCTTTGGTACAGAATTAGTTAACAGACATAGATAGATCTGCTATCTAAGCAGAGGTAGATAGATAATAGATATAGATAACAGAGATAGATAACAGAGATGATAGATAATTAAAAGACATAGATAGACAGATATTTTCTGCATCTTTCAATTGATATTTCCAACCATTTTTTTATACATTCCAAATCATTCATATTAAATGACTTGCTTTTATGAATGGCATTTTTTTTAATTCATGCTACAAATGTGCAATTGTATTTAGGTTTGGAGAGTCAAGTACAGATTCTGTTTCATTCACTTATTCACAAATATCCTTGGGAATGGTATGAATCTACCTTTTACCCCCAACTATGGGTTAAATACTAGGACTTGCACCTGGAAAAAATCATTGCTATTCTGAAAAATTGTTAATGCAATATTCACTTAAAAAGAATTATTATTCTTACAATCCAAAATATGTTTGAGCTTTAAATAACCCACAAAAGGTTGATAAGCCATAAAAAACAAATCAGTCAATCAAAATCAATGTATTTATGTCAGACAATTGAAAAAACTCTATTATTCTAACCTTATTCTTCTGAAACCATTCTGAGCGAAGATTCAAAGTATATTTCAGGTCATTTTATTGTTAAAAGATGAATTACAAAGTCTCAGCTGGATAACAGAAGGTAAAAGATTTTCCGAATAGAATGGACTGATATTTTAACAAATACATTTCCCCCTCAAACCTGGGGAAGTTTTACAGTTCCAACTGCATGAAAGCAGCTTCCCATTTGAGGTGCTTTCTTTATATTGTGCATTTTCCTTTCTTTTTTATTTTCAAATATAACATGGTTAGTTATGTCCCAGATTTTCAATTTTTGCTTCATCTTATCAAATAACTGAATTTAAGTATCATTCAACTCATGCCAAAAACTATTTTGTGAATACTGAATAACCGTTTCTACACATTTTCTCAAGTGAAACGTCTGAAACTCTTCCCAGTTCAATGATGCCAAAATTGGTTCCAGCATTCTTCAGATTTGTCTGAATACCTTTTATTTTATTTTGTGTATGACTTAGCCCAAGACTGGTTTACCAATCTGTAAAGAGTTGATAGAAATGCAATTAACCCACTACTATTTTTAATTTCACAAATGCAACAAAAAGCAAGCAAACAATAAGACAAATAACAATATGAAACAATATTTTGATTCAACAATAAATATTTTTTAATATATAACCAATAGAAAATATAAAATTGTATGTTGAAAGTTGTTTAAATTGCTTCAGAGTTTTTTCTTGTGTGGATTGAAGTGTTTGTGAAGGTATTATATGAAAGATTAAGAGTGGAGAAATTGTGTGTATAAAAATGGGTAAATTTGATAAGGTATTTTTGTGTTTGTAGGAAAATTAGTTTTATGTGTTGGATTTTGTAATATTGTACTCGACTTACTGTCCTGTGTATGAAGTTGTCTCTCTTTGATTGAATGTGTCACGATGTTTTCTGTTGAGTTTATGTAGTTGAGTGAGTGTACTTTGCAAGCTGTGGAAAAGTAAATTTAACTTTTAAGCCTGCTAAGATATGTGATATAGATTCATGTGTCGAGCTGAGAAAATTTGTAAGACTCACTGTCAAAGTCGAATGATGTTTCATTTCTTTTGATGTTTCAAGTCACATGGGAGGCTCCAAGTAATTTGATTTTTTTCTTTATTAGCCAATCAGAAAGTGTTTTTAGTTACTTCCCATATAGAGCTGATTTTAATGGGTTGTTGGATTACTTGGATTGATTTAAGATAAGTTTCACTCTGAGCCACTTTTAATGGGTTTTTAAACAACCCCTTAAATTGAAAATTTCTTTAGATGACGCCATCTTTCATATACTTTTTGTTTTTTCATTTATAAATAATGGATGTGTCAGTGGAATGTTAAAGCTTTTTTAAATTTTCTAATTATAAGCATCAGTCAAATTCTTTTTCAAGTTCACAAAGTGTCTGTCTATATTTCTGAGATGAGGTATTATGTACAGTATTTACATTAGTCGGACTATTGTCCTCATCTTTGTCGCCATATTTGTCACAACGTTGTACGCTCCGGCCTTCTTCAGGTGGTTGGAATTTCGAACTGAACCCTTTATTTCGATCACTGGGGTAGACTGTTCTAATTCCATGTGCCATGTTTGATGGATGTCAGTTATCAGTTATCTCCTGCTAATTTTCCCTCAATCAAAGTATTCAACCCTATCTATCTATTTTAGTATGTAAGTATTCAATTTATCTATTTTTGTATCTAAGTATTCAACCCTATCTATCTATAAATAAACATATCTAAATATTCAATAGATAGATAGGGTTGAATACTTTGATTGATTCCTTCATTTTCTGTGGCTTATCAACAATATTGCAGGTTACTTAATGCCAGAAAATATTTTTAGATTGTGAGAATTTTGTGGGGAGATAATTATGATTTAGTGATACAAATCTTACTAATTAACCCATAGCTGGGAAGAAAAGAGGTGGATTCTTACCTTTCCCAAAGGCATTTGCATGTATATGAATATAATGAACCCAACCAAAATTGGAACTTGTCTCTCTGATTAACAATTCCAAGCCATTATTCATTATACTACCCACATATCCAAGCCTACAGCCCCTAGTATTCCCAAGCTGTCACCCATCTAGGTACTGACTAGACTTGACATTACTTAACTTCAGTGATTGATGGAACAGGTGTTTCAATGCTATATAGCCATATACCAGTACTTAGCTAGATAGATGTGAACAGACTGAGATAGATAGATAGATAGATAGATAGATAGATAGATAGATGTGAACAGACTGAGAGAAATAGATACATACACATATAGATAGATAAAAATACACACATAGAATACATACATAAATATATACATACATACAGAGAATGTAGATAGAAAACATGAATAGATAGAATACATATATAGATAGAAAGAATGCATAGAATACTTAGATAGATGGGTAGGTAGGTTGAATACTTAGATAGAAAAATAGGTATATAAATAGATAGATAGATAATGTAAATTTAAATGCAAAAAGAATAAGATTTAGAAATAAAAATAGTAAAATACAGAAAGAAAAGTAATAGAAAATTATTCCCATCATTCCAGTACACTTGAGTGCACAATGGAGTTGAATTTTCCCCCTTCATCTTGCAGTGAACGAGCGACTCTTCTATTCAACTTCCAGTCCAGAAATATCCCCTTTTTGTCTGGCATTCCACATTTATTTTATTTTATACAGGCAACAACAACAATGGAATTCTGTAGAAGAACCTTTCTAGCCCAGAGAAGATCATGACCCAGCAGCAGATCAGACTAACAACAGACATTTCTTGCTTTTCATGAGAGAAGATTACTATTCTTTCCATCTCTTGTGGAAATGTAGAAGGCATTAACTATGGCACCAAGAAAAGCCAAAAATCAAAAAAGCATTCCTCAGTATTAGTGCATAATCATGTGTAATTGTGAGCATGGGTGTGTAAGTCAATGGTATGAATGAGGGTATTTGACAAAAATAAAAAGAAAAGGTAGTAGTGAATTAAAACTATAGATAGATATGGACTAGCTTAGATAGATATAAACTCACTCAGATAGATAACATACTCATATAGATACATAATTAACACTTAGATAACCGACTTATATAGACAGATAATTAACAGAGTGATAATTAGCAGACTTCAATATGTAGATAATTAACAGATTTAGATAGATAATTAACATACTTAGATATAGAGATATATAATTAACAAACATAGATAATGAACAGACATAGATATGATGAGACTGAATAGATAGATGTGAACAGACTAAAATAGATGTGATGATATTAAGAGAGAGGGTGTTAAGATGAAGACAGAAATTGTGATTAAAACATTAAGAGTAAGAACTAAATTTCTACTGTCATGTGTATGTGTGCATGTCTCCGTATTTACAGGTATATATATATATATATATATATATATATATATATATAGAGAGAGAGAGAGAAAGAGGCATTTTGAGGTGGTGCAATGGTTAGCAAGTTTGCCTCGCTAGAACAATTATGACTGAGTAGTGAGTTCGATCATCACTGGGTGCCCCATGCTTTCAGCCTTGTGCCACATCTAAGCTACACTTGGAAAATCACTATAGAGACAAAAAAGTTTGATCAAGCCATCTTAAAACAGGCTCTTAAAAAGCAAGACACAACCTCAATCCCAGATAATCTTCAGCCTGAGCATATAACATCTGTGGTAGGGTATTCTTAACCAAAGCGGGACATGCTAATTATCTAACATATCATTATGGTTAGTAGTCCCAAGCAGACTATGTTGACAGCCAGCCACATTGATTTAGAGCTAATTTATGTCATTTTTGTGATGGCATATATGTGTCAGCAGTAGGTCTAAAGACTTACCTGAGAGTGCATAAGGACTAGATAAACCCACAAACATTTTCTTTCCTTTCGCTTTCACTAACTGCTTGTATCTAATTGGTCTTATTGTCTTGTTTGGCGTGAAAAGATAAAAAATTATATACATACATGAAAAAGTTTTCATGTCTAATTTTCTTCTTTTATATGCTGTCCTTTCATGAGATCATGGCTCTCTATAACTTCCTGTCTTTTGTTGCTCCTTTACCATCCAATCATTAATTAGTTTATTTACTATTTCCCAGCAGTTTCTCTTGCTTTTAGTATATTTTGTGAGTGTTACATTCTCCAAGCTTTATTTCCTCATTATGTGTCACAGGAATGTCAACTGTCTCTTTCTGATTATTAGTAAAAGTTTCCTCTTTTTTTGCTCACATGTTCCATCCATGTTTTTTGTAAATCATTCCACCCCAAGCAAGGCAACAAAGCTGCTAAGATGCAAGGGGATACTGAGTGTGAGAGAATATGAGAAAAAGAAAACATTATTAAGGAGAGAGAACAATAAAAGGACAAGAATTAAGAAGACAGTAGATGATGATTGACATTTTGAAATTTTTGAAGATCAAAGTTAACTGGAAAGCAAGAAATCAGAAGAGTTTCACAAGGAAGAAGTGTGATAGAAGAAACTGTTAACATAGAATTTATGGTTACATTTAGCCATTGCAACTGTAAAATGATGAGACCTAACTGTCAATCTAGTACTTTGCTTAAATTTGTAAAGTCTAGGTACCAAAGAGGAAAGTTCATCAGAATAATTACCACAAAAATACTTATATAAAAGGTACAGGGAAGCTATGTTAGAGCAGTGAGAAAGTGACTAAAACTGAAATGCTAGGTCAGGACCAATGAAATAGCAGATTCTTCTTTGTATTTCATCAAGACTCTCTAAATATATAGCAAAAGCACCAGATCAGAAGTGGCAGCAATATTCAAAGTATGGATGAATGGAAGATTTATAAATGCTTAAGATAGATTCTGGTGAGAAAAATTGTCTAGCATGACACAGTGAACTAACTTTCCTAGCAATTGATTCAGTATAATCACTCTACTTCATGTCAGCAGAAAACATTAGCCTGAGAAGGCACAAGGAGTCAATCTCCTGAAGGTTAGCATCAGCTATGCTGATAGAAAGGAAATAAGGTTCTCTAAGACAATTAAAAGAAGGCAGTTTCATTCTGGAGAAATTAAAATTAACAAGCCATTTCTTGCCCCAGTTAGCAACAGATTATAGGTCATTTTTTAAATCAGCTGCCAGTTTGACCTTACTGAACTGATCAGATTTATTAAAACAAGAGTAAATAGTTGTTTCATCAACAGAGATACCAAGTTGAGAACTGATGACATCAGGAAGATTGTCAATGAAAATTAGGAAAAATGTAGGTTCAAAGATAGTGTTGGAGGATGCCTGCATTAATGCAAAAAGATCTAGAAGATTGGCCATTCAAGACAACTTTCATTTTGAAATTTGATAAGAAAGATTGAATCAGATGAAAAATTTGTCCAGAAATACCATGTGCTTTCAACGTTCTGACTTGACATCAAGAAGCAAAAGCCATATTGCTTATCTGAAATAAAACCCTGTGAGGTGAAATGCTTAACCAATTTGGAGTCAATTAGAGCCTCTAATACATTGCCAAAAAGAGGTAGAAGGCTAAAAATTAGAAGGATCAGATGGTTCACCTGGGTTCTTAAAACTGGAACTATGGAAGATTTTCAACAAGCAGGAAAGCAAGAAGCAACAAGGCATTTATTGTAGAGTTTAGAGAGAACAGGAGCACATTTCTCTTTCAAGGATACCATCAAATCTACATGTTTTGTGGGGATACAGTTTAGAGATGATAACAGAAACCATGGATGAAGTTATATGCATATAACTCATAGAATCAGTTACAAGCAATATCATGCCTCATTCTTCCATGAAAACAAATAATACAAATTGTATTGTCCTATCATATATATATATATATATCTCATCCATTGAGAGTCCTAACACTGATAGGATATACATAGGCTCAACGAAGAATAATTTTAAAATTAGATGGAGGCAACACAAGAGCTCCTTCAACAATATTCAAAATAGAAATCAGACATCTCTATCCCAATATTTCTGGCATCTAAAAGAAACGAATAAAACACCAAAAGTAAAATGGAAAATAGTAAATAAAACAAGAACCTGTAAAACCTGGGATGACCCATGCCCTTTATGCTTACTGGAAAAACTACACATCATTAAATTTCTAAATAATGAAAAATTATTAAACCATAGGCAGGAGTTAACGGTTTTCTGCAGACATCAACAAACTTTCGCATTAAATAATTAGCATCTAAAAAAAAAAAAAAATCCCATAGCTAAGTAAAATTCTTAAAAGCTTAGCCAAATCATTAAATAGGAAAAACCCTTTTTGTAGTCATCAAAAAACAAAAAAAACAAATTGAAATTCAGTGCAATGCGATCTGTATATAAAACACTCACTTGAATAAACAAATAAATAAATAGATAATCAGATGGACAATAATAAAAGACAATTCCCCAGACACATAATGATTGTAGGCGCGCCATAAAAATATCCCTCACTGGGAACTAACTAAAGGGTGACCGCAAACATTAGCCTTGAAATAGATACCCTACCCAACCTTAGCAAAACCTCTCAGAAGATGATGAATCTATTGATAAGAATTAACTCTCTGACCACTTAACAAAGGAAAATAGTCTAGCCACTCCCACAATAATGAATTCTGTAACGGACTGTGCCTAAAAATACACGTAAACCGAGAGATAGCTTATTCCTAAAATTTCGCTTGAAGATGAAACGGGACTAAACACCACAATCCAACTTAATTTTAATAATTATTTGGATGATTTTGGCTCTCGTTTTTGAAACATGAGAACTCTTATGTAGCAAAGGAATCATATTTTTTAAACAAAAAATTATTATATTATATATATATGTATATATATATATATATATATATATATATATATATATATATATATATATATAAAAGGATAAAGAACAAACAGGAAATAATTTATAAATCTAACATTTTCATTGGTTAAGCAGATTTCACATGCATTTGACTAGTCAAGCAGCATTTGTGTGTATAATTTATGTGTTAGTGTATCCTAATTCTAGTTTATCTATGCAGAATTTGGATAATAACATATATTTATAATTGTGTGTAAGTCTAGTAGGCATTATTTATCTTTTGAGGTTGTCCACATGTTGATTTGGGGATTTTTTTTATATGTACAACAGTCATGGTAGTTAAATATATAATGTTAGATTATTTAAAAATGGATTTACACTATATACATATATATATGTGGATGACTATGCTCTCAAAATAATTTGATTGAGCTCTGAGAGGAAGGGGTGATTTTATAA